AATAAATCTTGATTTTTTCCCTATTGGGATCTTATTGCAATAGAACTAGGAAGTCAAAAGTATTCTATAAAAAAAAAGCTGCTTCCATGGGGGAATAAAAATCTAAAAGCAAAAACCAAGAAAAATAAAACAGTAAAAACCAGTACCCAAGATTTTTTTGACAGGTTCAAATATAATTTCTATACCCAACACAAAAAAAAAAAAAAAAAACAACAATCTCATGGAGTCATCAACAGCCTCAGCTTGTGGATCTGTGAGAAGGAAGGGCATAGAGGGTTGAGAGAGAGGTAAGGGAGGCTTTCAGAGAGAGCAAGCAAGGCTTTGAGAGAGGGGCAGGGCTTTGTGAGAAGGTAAGACATAGAGAATTGCAAGAGAGGGGCAAGGGTGGCAAGAGGGCTTTGTGAGAAGGCAGAGCTTTGACAGACTTTGTGAGAAGGTAGGATGCAGAGGATTGCGAGAGAGGGGCAGGGGCTTTGTGAGAACACAGGACGCAGAGAGACATAAGGGTGACGGTTTTATTATTTGTCTGGTTTTTTGTGGTTTCAACCCTGCGGCAAACTCAAATGAAATATTATTTCAGACTTTATGAGAAGGTAGGACGTAGAGGATTGCGAGAGAGGGGCAGGGACTTTGTGAGAACACAGAACGCAAAGAGACATAAGGGTGACAGTTTTATTATTTGTTTGGTTTTTGGTGATTTCAATCCTGCAGCAAACTCAAATGAAATATTATTTCAGACTTTGTGAGAAGGTAGGATGCAGAGGATTGCGAGAGAGGGGCAGGGGCTTTGTGAGAATACAAGACGCAGAGAGACATAAGGGTGACGGTTTTATTATTTGCCTGGTTTTTTGTGGTTTCAACCTTGCGGCAAACTCAAATGAAATATTATTTTAGACTTTGTGAGAAAGTAGGATGCAGAGGATTGCGAGAGAGGGGCAGGGGCTTTGTGAGAACACAGGACGCAGAGAGACATAAGGGTGACGGTTTTATTATTTGTCTGGTTTTTTGTGGTTTCAACCCTGCAGCAAACTCAAGTGAAATATTATTTCAGGTCAGAGGGAGTAATGGATCCTCGAGAACTTACTCTGCACCTTGTGGGATGGGGATTTCTTTTCACACAATTTGCTCCTTGGGGTGGTAAAATCCTTTCTAAGGAATAAGCTTTCATCAACTTTATGTATGAACCAAGCGTGCGTACCTGCATGTTTCATATGAAAGCTGTTTCATGATGCAAGTTTACTTTTCATATGACCCAAGCGTGTGTACCTGTATGTTTCATATAAAAACTGTTTCATGATGCAAGTTTTCATATGATCCAAATGAGCCCTAGGTATACCTACTCACCCTCACGCTAGGCATGTTGTCTGCTTGTTTGATAAGAGTGATGTCAATTCATGTCTTTTGTCCATTGTTTATTGTAACTGTTAGAGAATAGGGAGAAAGAAGGCTTACTTTGAGAATTTGTAGTTACGCACACAAAAGAGCTCAATTCAACTCAATTTCTTCACTCTACTTAAACAAAAACATAGTACATGTATATATAGACCATTTAGGAGCTTTCTACACTCTTTCTACACCATTCTAGTGAAGTTTTCCCTCGCATAACTTACAACCTATATGCTTGGACGAAATTAGAAGATTATATCAGAAAATTCTAGACTTCACTCATTCCCAATTCAAATTTGCATGCATTGCATGCTTTAGACTCCTCTCTTTCAATCTTGGGACTCTTCTCTCTCAATATTGGAAATCCTCTCTCTCAATATTGGAATTCATCTCTCTCAATCTTGGAATTGTGGTTTTGAAACTCTACACGATTCTTTTACATCATTCCAAAATTACCCTTAAAATAACTTTTCCAAAATGTTCCTTACATTTAAATCTAGGGAAAATATTTCCATGGACCCCATTTTCAACTTGCATTTCTTCTTGAATCCAAAACTTCAAAACCTATCTGGTAACCTTTCAAATAACTTTATCTATTTTTATCTCAACTTTTAACCCAAACAAGTTAAAAAAAACATCTTTTTTTAATACTCTCTCTCCTCACGTGTTTCACACTCTTTCCTCATGTGTTTTTCTCTCTAGACCGTCCAGGAGCTCAGCGGGAAACCTTACGTTGTGGCCGGAAACCTTGAGTTTTGGCTACAATCTTCATCAAAAACCTCTCTCTTCAGGTAGGCTAAAAATCCAATTGTTAATGGCGGCGGTCATAGGCTGCTCTGCTCTATATTCGAGGACCAATACGGTGGAAAATCAATTGTTTCATGGATTGAGATCTCATATGAAGGGATTCAACCTTTCATCCTCAGCTACAGCAAAAACAAGAACCTCGCCTTCATCTTTGAAAGAAGCTTTCTTGATTCATGGTTTTGATAGGCCTGAGTTGAAGAAGGTATTGACGAAAGGTGATACTAGATCTTCGCTAGTTTTGGAGGATGAAGTGATGGCGTTGCTGAATTTTCAAGATTATTTGGAAAGATACAGGGACTTCACAGAAAATGGTGATGGCCCTCCTTGCTGGTTTACTCCATTGGAGTGTGGTGCTCCCTACAAATCCCGATCAAAATTCTAGCTAAAATGGTGGAACTCCAAGCTTCTTTGGGTGTCTTATACTATAAGCCTTTTATGGGACACGTATACACAAATATATCACACAAGCAATAGGCTCGGCCAAAATTCCTTTGGCATTTCTTTTTCTTTTAACATGCATCTTGCCATATTCAAAACAATTCTATTCTTTCTTTGCCCCACACCATTTTGTTGTGGGGTGTAGGATGTGGTCATTTGGTGACAAATTCCATGTTCTTTACAAAATTTTTGGAAAGCATTAGAATTATATTCTCCACTTCTATTTGATCTTATCATTTTAATTTGAAAACCACTTTGTTTCTCCACAAAAGCTTTGAATTCGTTAAACACTTCAAAAATCATGTTTTGCTACTATAATCATCAATAAAGGTTAGAATGTACTGACTTTTTCCATGTGAGATGGGCTCAAGTGGTTCACACACATCCGTATGCACAAGTTGGAGAGGTTTGTTTTCTTTTCTTGGTTTACCACTCTTGAAATTTTCTCAATGTTGCTTTCCCACAATGCACCCTTCACGTACTCCATTGTGTTGCTTTATCCATGGCAAACCATTCACCATTTTTGCTTTTGACAACAATTTCAAACCACCAAAATTAAGATGCCTAAAACGAAAATGCCATAACCATGAATCATCATTCAAAATAGATTTGAGGCATTTCACATTTTCACTTTTGATATTCATTGGAAACATTCTATTCTTAGTCATAATCACTTTGGCAATCAAATTGTTTCTTTGGCCCCTCAAGTAAAGGCTACCATTTTTCATAAAAATATTATAGCATTTTCTAATATTTGCTCCACACTCAAAATGGTATTTTTCATGTCCGGCACATAATATGCATCAGAAAAAATTGATGACTACCATTCTTCATTTTTATCAAAATTTTACCTTTGCCTTTTAAGGGTATTTTTGATAAGTCTCTAAATGTTACATGCCCATGACTTAATTCATTCAATTCCACAAACAATTCCTTTCTACCACACAAGTGATTGCTTGCACCAGTGTCTAGATACCAAATATCCATTTGATTATCATTCTTATCATTATAAACTAATAACAAAGTTGGTTCTCCTTCATCATTTTTCTTTTCAACAAAATTAGCTTTTTCAAATACATAATTTTGGGAATGGTATCTACACTTGGAACTATAATGGCCATACTTTTTACAATTATAACATTGAATTATAGATTTTCCATACCTTGAATGATTGTATGGCCTTGAAAAATTATCTCCTCCTCGACCTCTTTGAGCTTGTGGGTGGTTTTGATCTCTCACACCTCCATAGTTAAAGTTGCCTCTACCACATCCTCTCCTTTCATTGCCATGACCTCTTTGGCCTCTTCCTCTACGAGATTGTTCACTCTTTATCTTCACTGTAAGCTTTGTTTGTAGTGCATGCTCCAAAGAGCTTTGAGTTCTTTTTTGCAATCGTTGTTCCTGGGCTTGCAAGGTACCCATGAGTTGATCAATAATCATAATCTCTAAATATTTTGATTATTCAATGGCTACAACAATGTGCTCATACTTACGATCTAGTGATCGTAGTATTTTCTCCATTACTCTTACACATCTATATTTTCTCAATTTCTTCTCACTTGGTTTACAACAACCAAGACCCTTGAGAAGTATTCCAAAATATTTTCGGATTCATTCATTTTCAATGCCTCAAACTCGACCCTAAGAGCTTAAAGGCGCACTTTTTTCACCGTTTCAACTCCTTTAAAAGAATTTTGAAGAATCTTTCATACCTTCTTTGAATTTTCAGCAGAATAAATTTTCTCAAAGCTGCTCTCATCAATTCCTTGGTACATAAGAAAGAGAGCTTTCTTGTCCAACCTTCTCGACTCACTTCTTTGATTTTGATCTAAAGCGGTTTCGTCTTGTGGGGTTGCCGGTTCTACATATCCCTTTTCAACAACATCCCAAGCATCTTGAGACCCCAACAATGCCTTCATTTGAATATTCCAATTCTCATAGTTATCTTTGGTGAGAAGTGGAATTTGTGGTTGGATCAAGAGGGCCATTCTTAAGCACTTTGTCTCTGATACCAGTTGTAGAGAATAGGGAGGAAGAAGACTTACTTTGAGAATTTGTAGTTATGCACACAAAAGAGCTCAATTCAACTCAATTTCTTCACTCTACTTAAAAAAAACATAGTACATGTATATATAGATCACTTAGGAGCTTTCTAGACTCTTTCTATACCATTCTAGTAAAGTTTTCCCTCTCATAACTTACAACCTACATGCTTGGATGAAATTATAAGATTATATAAGAAAATTCTAGGCTTCACTCATTCCTAATTCAAATTTGCATGCATTGCATGCTTTGGACTCCTCTCTCTCAATCTTGGAACTCTTCTCTCTCAATATTGGAATTCCTCTCTCTCAATATTGGAATTCATCTCTCTCAATCTTGGAATTGTGGTTTTGGAACTCTACACAATTCTTTTACATCATTTCAAAACTACCCTTAAAATAACTTTTTCAAAATGTCCCTTACATTTAAATCTAATATCCAAAATACCCTTGAACATAATCAAAGCTTATTTTTAACAGTAACATCCAAACATCTTTTGATTTCTCTCAAAATTTAGAAACATTCCTAATAGAACCGCAAAAAGAGAGAGAGAGAGAGAGAGAGAGAGAGAGAGAGAGAGCGTATTTTGTGGGGACAACCTTTATTTGCTCTCGAAGTTAGTTGACATGGTATGTTTCCTACTCACGGGCAGTCGGTGTCCCACAGTTATATTACATATGTTGCATTTGACTTGCATTCTTTATCTCAAGGTTGCATGCCAGTTCTCGACCTACAGTCCAAAGCTTATTCATCTTTTTCGGAGCCACTGCAGAAGAAGAAATCAGGTCGAACTCTGCCTTTGATAATCACCTGGCAAATGATATCACTAAAGCTAGTTATATATATTTCAAAAAGTATGTTTTGTCATAATAAAATACAAAAGGAGAAAGATTCATTGCTATTAGTACATCTTTATACCCTTAGTTGATCCGAAAGCAACAGTTCCACACTAAGAGTATAGGGTCTAGGTCATCCTCACATCTTCAATCTTACTTTCTCAATAAGCTCTCTTCGGAGAATCTTTCCAGATGCTGATTTTGGTGCACTTTTTTCACAAAGGTCACCCTCCGCAATCTTTTGAATGATGCAATCACGACATTGATCAACTGGCCACACATGCAATCATCTAAATATAAGTGCTCACATTGATGTACCGCATTTATCCGACATCCATAATGAATGCACAAATGTGTGTGCGCGTGTGTGTGCACATTTGTGTATGGAGAGGACTCACACGTGGCATAAATTCAAACGTCCACCAATGAATCCTAAGGGGTCCAAAGTTATTAACCCATTGCCTCGTGAATTGGAGATCTTCATCTCAGCCCTTGGTTTCTAAGTTTTAACCATAGTTATGCTTTATGCATGTATAGTTGCATGTTTTCCGACATGCAGAACATTTGGGGAGTCTGCGCACTCTATACATGCAGGTGTAGAGAAAAACATACAAACACATATCAAGTGGAACTACATGCATCGCATTCATGACTAGAAGTCTGCATGCACCTGATCACACGATATTTTTATGTGAAAAAGTAGAATAAGAATTTGAAATTCGAAGTAACTTGTTTATCTGCTTTGGTACAAATTACTGGACATCTTTTTTAGTGAGGGAGCTTCCTTGGGAGCGATACACATATGCAATAGAAACCTCCCCTGCTTCTGCATTAGGAAAACTGCAGTAGGAAAAACTCACACACTAGGAACAAATTAATAAACTAGTAATCAAACTTTAATAGCCCTGAGATGGCACCACTCTCTGCTCCCCATTTCCCCCATAATGAGATAAAATAAAACTCAAACCCATCAGTGATAAATGTTTTCTCTACTTCTTTTCAATAGGAACTGCAACTTACGGGATGACAACAACATCCAGTATTTCAGGATCAGAAAGAAGCAGTCCCTCAATCTCCACATGTGCAACTTAGAAAAGGATCACGACATCAACAACTTATGTCTTACAAAAATATGCATTTACCATTTACAAACTAGCCAGGAAAAAGATGGATGATGAGCCAAAAACAGAGAAGATCTCGATAAGATAAAAAATGAATGAGATGTCTCCACTCTAGTATATTCTACAAACTAAACTACAGGATCAAGCTCATCTCTTATGCCCAAGAGCAACGGCAAAGAGGAAGATAAAGCATTGTTATAACTGTACCACAAGAATGTTCACAATAACCAATGTGATTATAGATGTATATGTACCCAACTTATTTTTATTTTACATCAATACCCATATTATTCACTATTAAGGGCCTTGTCCTAGATAAATGCTTAGTCCGAAAATTGCTTGGACCATACTGATCACACATTGTAAAGCCAATCTAAAACTTACATTTTATGTTGTTTCCGATATGTCATGAGCAGCAGAACAAGTAATGTGACAAAGAGATTCCAAAGCTCTTTTATTTTTTCTATTTTTTGGTTTTGGTGGGCGGGAGGCAGAGGAGGCGAGAGTGAAAAAGAAACACATTACGAAAGATGCGGGAGCCACGGTTTTACAAAGACGACACACCTTCTATTGCCCTCACGTCTGCCAGATGATTGGCCATTCATGGGACATGCTGAAAAGTGATTGGCATAGCTTGACAAAGAACATGAATTTCATTCATGAAGTTCTCTAATATCCAAGGGGGGTGCAACCTCCCCCTTGGCCCATTGAAATTTCATTCATGATGTTCTCTAATATCCAAGGGAAGTGCAACCTCCCCGTTGGCCCATTGAATAACATTTAAGGAGTCTCCTTCAACTTGGAGAGAGCAAGTGAAGGATATACAAACTAAGTGCACCCCTATGAGAAGGACCAATGCTTCAGCCCAATTGGGCCCCATCTATGCACTGCGAACAAACCCCTAGGATCCCTAATGGCAACCTCAACATCTGATGCACCCAGATTACCTATGCAGCTCCCATCAAAATTTTCAATAATTATAGAAAACTTGAAACTTTTATTATCTTTTATAATTCAATATACTAAAATAACACGACAATACTCTGCAAATACAAAGAAACAAAGGAAAAATTAAAGGCAAATGATCACACAAATATGCAATCATCACTTTCCCTTTGGAACAGAACACTACTCTAAAATATAAATATCAGATACATTCGCCCTCTAAATTCATGAAACTTGAGAGACTACCACCTCTCATCCCTCTAATGATATTTAGAAGTTATACAACAGAATGCAGAGCCATGTAGAATTTCTACTAACAATGCGAAGACCTCCTAGAAAGCCCACCCAGAATTTCAAGATTCTAGTTTCTTGATTGCTGCAAACAAACCCCCAAAACCAGCTGGAACTGGTTTTCCTTTAGCAAAGCCATGAGAATTTATCTTGAGAAGGTTTAAATTGAATTCTGATGACCTATGATGCTTAGCGCACCTTACAAACTAAAACATCTGATGAGAATCAGAGATGCAAGGGAATTGTGGGGTATGCTTCTACCCCTCATTAGCATATAGAGAGAAAGGGTATCTCTGTTCCCAGTAAATCAGAAAATGGAATCACTATCAGAGGAAGGATGTGCTTGGGTGTATGAGACAGTATTCCTAATAACAAATAACATGCAAAGATGAGAGATTTGTCCTTTAACATAAAGCAGGACTTTTGGGAGCTTAATTTAATTATATATCATTCAGCTGGATCTCATCATTGCTTTTGGCATAATGAGCCATTTTTTAAAAGAAGTCTGATGAAGTCATACCATGATGTATATCAACACTTATCCAGAGTGTGATATGTGCTTAAACTCACATCTCGTACTGGGATTACACATAAGTATTCTGGTCGGGCTGTATAACAAATAAGGGATCCAAAACAGAGTCCTGCATAACTTTAGAAATAATATTGCACCCTAAAAATGAGAAAAAGAATCAGCTTCCACATAAAGAGAATTCTGCACTAGCAGAGCATGGAATATAATGCAGCCGTTGAAAGTTTAGTATGAAACCAATAATCTCATTCACAAGTGTATAACTAAGTTTTACATTGAAAAATGTTATTCCGAATAGCATCTAAAATAAAGAAAACAATTTAACTTAACAAATATTATAAACAGGTCAAGTCATGGTTGACAGAATATTATGATTGTGAGCATAACTAGGAGTACCCATCACTGAGAGAAATTTATCAACCTGAAAGCAAGCTGAGAATGAATGATATGCATAAACCAAAGCTTTAGGGTTTTACAATTTGTATTCATTTTTTATGTCCGTCTTCGTCCTAAGGGATATTTCATTCATTATTGTTTTTTACAATTCTACAACCCTAGAGGTATGTTGGCCACAGCTAATATGAAAGAAATATCATTTTCGTCCTTCTCAGACTATTTTCTCTTTAACAGCACAACCTCTAGGAGAAAATTACATACAGTGGAAATAATAGTTTCCAATAGCATATATCTCAAGACCTGGAAAACTAACTTGGAGCTAGAGAATCTGTCAACAAAGTACATGCTAGTATATATGCCATAAATTGGAAATAGAGACCACAACTTTAAAAGACGTCCGCAACTCATAATTCCTCTTGCGCATGAGATGATTAAGGTCTTTCATTTTTCGGTTTGTGCAGGTCAGTGGTTAGGGCATTGATGGCTACAACAAAATTTCCTAGGCTCGACTCCGAGCCAGACTACCCAGAATAAAGAGAAGGAACTTAAAAGCTTATCCAAGCAACTCGCTTCCTTCACAAGATATAGTTAACAATATCCAGCTCTCAGGATAAGAAGATAGCAGTGAATTGTAGAGGTAATTTACATCACTCGTACAAGAAACATAGAGACCATCGACATTATTTCTTTTCATGGCTAGGAATCATGTCATATTGATATTCCATACTTAGGATACCGATAAATGATAGAAGGTATTGTATACTATATGAGAAATTCAATCATATATCGTATGCATTGCATGTATAATACAGTACAGGGACCAGTCATCTACTGCCCATTCGCATCGACAGATAGTAGACATGTGTCGTTGCATTGATGCACTTACAAGCGAACACTAGCTCATTTGTACCATCTGTTGCAGAGAACTGACAGAGAATGACTGTTCTCTGCAGCATATATTACACAAGGAATATTTATAAAACATTTTCCTATGATAGGTTACCTGAAATGCTTTGTACTTGATAAGCTGTCTAATTCTATCAACGAAAAAAATCTCCCTTCATCATCAAAATATCCAGGATCCCCCATAAGAAGCCATCCCTCTTGACCATTGTGGACTTGGTGGCCTGTGAATTTTTGAAGTAACTTGCCAAAATATTTAGCCAAGGTCGATGAGTTACTTGAGTCAGTTTAAACCAGTATGCCGGGACTGGCCTTGGCCAGGGCGAGTTACTCGGCGCAGTCCTAACTTGGCTGAGTCGACCAAAGGCCCTAAATAAATGTTAAAAATATAGGAAAAGATATTGCAAAATAAAAAAAGTAGTAAAAGTAAAATAAAATCGAAAACAACTTTAAAAAATTAAAATAAACTTAAAACAGTTTAGAAAATATTGGATTTTAAAAAAAAATGATTTACAGTTAGGGAGCAGAAAAATAGCTCGTGATCGGCCAACTTACCGAAGCAGAATCTGGGAAAAGAAAACAATGGAAGCTGTTTATTTTATCTTCTTTTATTTTTGTCAATCAACAAGAAAGATCAGAAGGGCTTCAGTCAAGTAACATGAAGGTGCAAACAAACATGCAAAACCAAAACAAAAGAAAAAGACGCAATAGACATACATAATATAAAGTTAGAGACGGAGAAAGTCTTGATTGAAAGAGTTCCCTGAAGACCCTTCGGAGTGAGGAAATGTGCCTAATTCCCGTGCACGTGATATCATAATACCACCACCTTTTCCTGTGTCTTAAAAGTTTCCCATGAGATATTAACAAATCTCTGAGGGGCAGTCTTTTTCTTGTCAAGCCTATCTAATGCCAATGGGAAAATGTCCTTCAAAGCAGTGTTTGCAAAACCGGCATGTTAGAATTGGAACCGGGTGGTTAGATCCCTACCGGTGGGGTGGCGACTCCTGTTAGGGCCGGTTTTGGGAGTCTACTCAGTAGCTGGTGAGCTCCAAAAAATTTGGGTACAAAAACTTGCCGGTTAACCCCTGAACCTACGGTTTTTTAGCAAAACCAGCCGGTTTCTGCTAACGGGACGGGTTAGCATATATAACGTCCGATATAATGTAAATAATGGTAGAGTAGTAAATAACGGCCGTTATTTGGAAACCGAGGCCGTTATTTGTAGCAGCCATTCTAAAATCCAAACTTTCACTTTTTTTATCCATTATCGTACCTTTTTTTTTTTTTTCTTTTTTCATGATTTATTGCTGTAAATCACTATCTATAATCTATAAAACAAAAAATTTGGATTGAAACATCGAAAAACAAGAGTTTCTTGGATCGAAAGGTTTTTGAAAATTTCCGCCATTCTTTCAATAATTTCTTCAATACCTAATGGTTCTTAAAGAAATTTGGTGGTTTTGATAGATAATTGAATTATTCATCAAATTTATGTTTCAATTTGTTCAGAAAACCAAATATTATAGGTTGATTTTGGCCTGAAATGTTGTTCAAAGAATCTGTATTCGATCAAAAAACACAGTTTTTTTATCTATTTATTTATCCTTTTTTATTAAATTGAGTTGTGGATTTTTATGATCAATGCTTGATCACTCAAATAAAATAGGTATCTCTATTTATGATTGATTAAATGCTTTTATATGAATTTTTTTGTTGCACTATATCATGAAATTAAATTAAATTAAAATACCGAATATTTTTTTTGATGAATATAGAACGTGTTTTTCTATTTTTGCTTAATAAAATTATTTTTAATAGAATTATTATTTTATTAATAAAATTATGTTTTTTAGATGAATATGGGAAGTGTTTTTTATTTTTTTAATAAAATTATTTTTTTGATAAAATTATTTTTTTAATGAAATTGATTCTTGTTTTTGATAAGTGCATGATAATGTCGCTCGATTTTTTTTAATTATGTTTTTTAAAGTGCATGATGTAGTTTTATTTCTAATGATGGAAATGAGACATTTTGTTTGTTTAAGTGCATGTAAATATTTTGGTTGCCTTACGTTCAATGGAACACTACACCATCATCTTGTATGTGCATGATTAGTCCGATTCTGATTCGAATTTGTGAAAAGACCTTGTGAAAAACTGGAAAAAAAACCTTAAGATGCAATAGAAGCACAAGGGCATAAGCACACTCACCTCAACATCAAAAGAGACACAAATGCCTACAATATGAATGGTGGTTCCTAACAAGGCCCTGGTTTTTCATAATATCAATGATGAAAATTGTAGAAGAAAATGTCCTCTTCATGCAATTAATTATAAAAAAAAGAAACAAAAACCATTGATGCATGTGGCTAGCCTAGAATTCGATTTCTTTTCTGGGATTTTCTAGGATAAACATCACCCGTTTTCCAATACGTTCATTAGAACCCCAAAGTCCTGCCCTTCTTGTTACTTTACGTACACGTTATATATCCCAACGTATATGTGACAAAGAGAGCGTTTTAGTAAAATTTCCTCACTAAAATTTAAAATGAATTCAAAATTATGAGGGGCATCTCAACCAAAACCCACTCTCTTTCTATAAAAGCCCTCCCTCCAATATAACCCTGACCTTTCCCCCTTCCGTCCCTGTTTCACTCCCATGTAAAATGCTTTTTTGACAATCCCTAAAAAGGTTAGGGTGTGGTGAAGGACCAACCATTTGAATGGACTTTGATGGGTTGGGCTGAAAGTGTTAGCAGGTGATGGATATGGCACATGTCCTTTGATCGTCTTACTAACCAGGAAGGAGGGGGAAGGAGAGAGAGAGTTAGGGTATTTGAATTCGCTCCAAACCTTTGTGATGGAAGCATTCGCTACTTATTTATTTACGTGAAAGCCTATTAGGGGTATTTAAAGTTAAAGTATATGGCCAGAAGGATGGGGTTTGGGGTGGTTATGTAGTTCTAATGGTAACCCATTGGAAATTGGGCTTGCTGCCGAAGGTTAACCCATTGGGAATTGGAGGTGTTTCCCAAAAAAAATCCCATCTTTTGTTTCCATAAATGATGTGTTTAAAGAGTGGAACAACATCTCAAACTGCAAATATGCATAAAAAACCCCCCAAATCTCCTAAACCAACCTCTCCTCTTCATTTGCAATTCACGAAAAGATTAGGAGGGCTTGTGACCAGTATTTTCATGAATTTTGAATTGCAAGATATTACTACATATCTTCTAAATGACTTTAGAAAAATTGGAGATCCACGAGAGTCTCTAAAAAGCCCATTGCAGACCATGCATATAATCCTTTTAAGAATTTCCATCATAAATTGTTCCAATCACAAGACATCAAACCCCATAATCCATCCATTCATTAGCCACCTCAAGAGGATAGTATATTATCTGTTCATATACCTTGTGCATAGAGTTAAAGCAAATTATCTGTTCATATACCTTGTGCATAGAGTTAAAGCAAACATTAGTCCTGTTTGAGATACCCAAACCCCTAAAGCTGCAAAAACAAAAGTATGATACTAATGCCTATGAACACAAACAATCAGTACGATGGTGCGAAACACAAGCACATCCTCAAAGATGTCATTGCATCAATTTGAGTGAGATGCACACATCACGCAATAAAGTTTATCTAAGACTCATGGCGAAGGATTCACCTATTTGCCCTCGGGTTATTATAGGCGTCGCATCATGTACTTTTAGATTTAGAGAAGACGTAGAGCTCAAGAACATTCTAGAGAGAGAAACTATCTTGATCAATTTTCATTAACAAGGAATGAAACCCTAAAAGAGTTTATATACAAAATACAAATTTAGTGTAGATCACATTATCCCTACACAAATATACAATGACAATAAAAGACAATTGAAAATTATGAAAAATATACATTTTATTTTTGTATACATATTATTACCCCCCCTTCAAGCTGATGCGGACATGAGTAAAGCATTAGCTTGTCTACTAGAAAATCATGACGGTTCCGAGTAACAGATTTAGTAAAAATATCAGCCGCTTGCACAGTAGAAGAAACATAAGGGAGAGATAATGTACCATCAAGTTAGAGATCACAAACATAATGACAATCTACATTAATATGCTTGGTCAGCTCATGAAAAACTGGATTAAATGCAATCTTAATCACACTTTGGTTATCTGCATATAAAGGTGTGAGATTTGAAATAGATATACCAAACTCATTAAGAAGAGCACGAACCCAAACAATCGCACTAGCAACAGGACATGACACGATACTCAGCTTCAGTGCTTGACTTGGAAACAATGTCCTGTTTCTTGCTCTTTCATGATATTAATGTTGACCCAAGGAATACACAATATCCTGTAGTAGAATGGCAAGTATCGCGATCACCTGTCCAATTTGCATCTGCATATGCACTGAGATCTAAAGAGGATGTGGAGTCAAAGAATAATCCATGAATGGAAGTACCTCGAACATAGCGTAAAATTCGATGAACTGCTGATAGATGTGGTCATCAAGGATCTGAAACAAATTGGTTCACAACATGGACATCATATGCAATATCTGGGCGAGTCATAGTGAGATTGATGAGGGAGCCGACGAGTTTGCGAAACATCATAGGCTCAAGAAGAGGATCTCCAACATGTGCAGAAAGTTTAACATTGAGTTCCATGGGTGTATCAACAACCTTCGCATCATTCAATCAGGCACTGGAAACAATATCAAGTGAATACTTTTGTTGATGGATGTAAATACCACGTTTAGAGTGAGAGATCTCAAGGCCAAAAAAATAAGATACTTCCCCAAGATCTTTCATTTGAAATTCTTCTTGCAATCGTAGCTTCACATTCTTGATGGAATTGAAATCATTAACAGACATAAGAATATCGTCAATGTATAATAAAATAATGCAAATTCCATGCTTTGTGGTATGAATAAACATAGAGTGATATATTTACTTTAAGTGAAGACAGTTGCAAGAATGACATCCTAAAAACGCTCAAACCACGCACGGGGAGCCTGTTTGAGACAGTAAATTGCTTTATGAAGTCCACAAACCAATGATTTATCTTGGGGAACAAACCCAAGTGGTTGACGCCTGTAAACTTCCTCTTGAAGATCGTCAGTAAGGAATGTATTTTTGACATCCATCTGTCATATGGGCCACTCACGAATAGATACGAGTGCAATAAAAGTACGAACAGTTATCATCTTAGTAACTGGAGCAAAAGTTTAATCATAATTGATGTCATGCCTTTAGGCATAACCCTGAGCAACTAATCGAGCCTTGTGCCAATCAAGAGTGGCATCAGCTCGTAACTTCACTTTATAAACCCATTTACTACCTATAGCATGCTTATCTAGGGGTAATGAGACCAAATCCCAAGTGTGATTTGCTTCTAAAGCTACAATTTCCTCATTCATAGCTATACGTCAGCATTGGAGGTTAGATGCCTAAGAATAAGAGGATGGCTCATGAAACAATAGATCAGTAATGGTTGTAGGAGAACAAGTATGATATGGGCTAACCACTGGTAAGTTAAGACGATCAGGTGGAACGGGCTTTCAAAGTGACTGCCGTAGGTGAACAGGACCGGTAGAAGGATCAACAACTGGAGGTGATGCATGATCAGCACTTGACAAAGACGGCTCATCAGAGTTAGTTACTGAATGTGGTAATCCTTGATTTTCATAATAATGAGAAGGAGGAATATCGAAACTAGGAAAAAAAAAGAAAACTCAGGTCCATGTGTGGTTGAATTAGGGTGTGGGCAGTGCTGCTGAAAAGGTATGTGCTCAAAAAAAGTAACATGCCAGGATATTCTAATACGATTAATTGAAGGATCAAAACAACGATATCTTTTTTTATTTATTGGATAACCTACGAACACGCATTTGACAGACTTAGGCGAGAGTTTATCAAGGGTAAAAGATGGTAAAAGCACATAACATGTGCACCCTTACACACGTAAATGTGAGTAATCAGGGGGTTTTTTAAAAAGCTTTTGAAATGGTGACACATTTTGTAAAATTGGTGTAGGAAGAAAATTAAGAAGATAGACAACAGTATACATCGCTTCAGCCCAAATATTCTTTGGGGAATGAGAGCTAATAAGAAAAGAACGAGTGGTTCAAGAATATGGCGATGTTTTCTTTTAACAACTCCATGTTGTTCCAAGGTATGAGGACATGAACGTTGATGAATAATGTCATTTGTACGAAGTAATGCTTGAAATTCATTGGATAGATACTCCCCTCAGAATCAGACCTAAAAGCTTTAATATTTTGCTCAAATTGATTTTTTATCATATTATGGAAGTCTTTAAAAATACTAAATACACTTGACTTGTAGTTGAGAAATAAATCGAAGTATATTTAGAAAAATCATCTATAAATATCACATAATAAGAAAATCCATTAATCAAAGGAACCGGAGCAGGGCCCCAAACATTAGAGTGCACTAAAGAGAAATGATGGATACTTTTATTATTGCTATGAGTAAAAGGTTGAGCAAAGTGTTTTTCCAACTTGCAACTCTCAAAAACAACTTCTTATCAAATTTTTTATGAGAGAAGACAGTAGGTAAAAGCCTAGAGTTTAAAAGAGAAAGCATTTTTTGAGAATGTGGGTGTCCTAACCTATAATGCCAAACATACCAAAGAGAATTTGATAAACTTATTTCAAGAAGAGAAGGGGAAAGATGACAAATTGGCAGAGCTTGTGAAAGATGGGAAGGAGCTTTGTTGAAACTAACTATGAAAAACCAACTCTGCTTAGTGCCTCTCCCAATCTCTTTCCCGGTTGCTAGATCCTGCACCACACAACCTTTATTAGAAAAAGAAACAAGGCACTTGTTATCAACTAACTGGCCAACAAATATTAAATTCAAAGGAAGGTTGGGAATATGATGAACATCTTTCAATGCTAAAAAGTTACCAGATGGATCAGAGACACTAGTATTGCCATAGTGGGTAACATGAAGTAAAGACCCATTAGCAGTAAAATAAGTTATATTTTCAAATTGGGGTTTTATCGAGGATAATGTGAAAGTTGTCCTGTCAAATGATTTGATGCTCCTGAGTCTATGATCCAAGTATTTGATAAAGGATTTGAGTTACCTAAAAAACCCATGGCAGCTAAAACCTGAGCAAGTTGTTGAAGTGTAGTTGAGTCAATAGAGTGAAGATATGGCATGAATACAGGAGTAAAAGATGTGGCGGCAGAATGAGAGTTACTGGAAGTGGCATCCTCCATGCTGATGGGACGAGGAATGAAGACGATTGCAGCCCAATGAGTCTGACTGGGGACAGGAGGCTTCCCACGTGCCTGAGGGCGTTTTCGATAATCATTTATTACATGCCCGAGCTTCTTACAATAATTCCAAAAAATGTGCCATTTGGACATAATTGGTATCCTTGTTAGGGAAATTGGATGTGGCTAAGGCCATATCAGTGACATCTTGTGAAGTGAATTTGAAACCCCAAGAGAGCTTAAGCGAGTTTTTTCAGTAAGGATATCTGAGAGGCAGTCATCTAATAGTGGAATGGGAGTATGATGAAGGATTGATGCTCTCATGCTTTCAAACTCTGAACCCAACCCTATAAGAAAGTGAAATAAACGAGACCGATTTCGTGCTTTAGTAGCAGCTTCAGTAGGTGGCTCTATCTCCATCGAGACCATCTCATTCCATATACCCGAAAGAATATTAAAATAATATTGAATTGATATGTCCCCCTATTGTGTTTTCATGCTTTCCTGTTCAAGGGTATACAGATGGGCAGTTTTTGCTTGAGAATAAATCTTTTGTAAATAATCCTACATTGCTTTGGCATTAGGTTGATACATGAGGTTGTGCTCAATTTTGAGCTCAACTGAATTCATAATCCATGTCACAATAAAGCTATCTATGGCAAGCCGGTAAGCCAATCACTACACCCATTCTCTTCCTTAAGCTGGGGAACAGAACCATCAATATAGCCCCATATAGAGATATGATCGAATCCTTGTTACTCTGATACCATGTTAGATTTAGAGAAGATGCAGAGCTCAAGAACAGTCTAGAGAGAGAAACTATCTTGGTCAATTCTCATTAACAAAGAATGAAACCCTAAAACGATTTATATACAAATACCAATTTAGTGTAGATCACATTATTCCTATGCTTTTCTAGTTTTGAGATACACCAATCAATTCCTATGGTCATACCCCATCCTGGAATTCTAAACTAAAGCATATACATACAGAAAGAAGGATGACATAAATAAAATGCACACAGAAAACAAGGTAATCTACAATCGTAATGGCATTAATAAGTGGTCGAACTAAAAGTGAGTGAGTACTTGAGCAAAATAGGCCTTTTTCAGACAAGAATATAGAACACATACAACTGGAAATTAGAATTATTGAGTGCTAATTTTCCTTAACATTCACAAGACCTTATTTCTTCAAAACCGATTAAGTGAATTGCATTTGAGAAACTATTGAATATTGCAAGCACAATAGGGCAACAACTTCCCTTCTTCTAATAATGAATATTGTATGCACAATTGGTCACAAAAACCTCGTTACTGTAATTTAAAGCTCAGTGATCCTAATAGGATTATTAGAGTAAAACCAATGGTCTGTACTAAACAAGATATAGATGAATTTTCAGAACAACTAAAAGATCTCCTAGAAAAATGATTAATTGAACCTACAACTAGTCCACATTCTAGTCTTGCAATTATGGTTAGAAACCACTATTAAATAAAAAGAGGAAAAGTTGGAATGGTCATTAACTAAAAATGGCTAAACCAAAATTTAGAGTTTGATGGTTACTTTATTCCAAGAAAAGATGTGTTAGTTAGGCAAACTAAACATGCAAAATACTTCTGTGAGTTTTATTGCAAATCAATTTTCTGGAAAATCAAACTAACTGAAAAATCCAAACCATTAACAACGTTTAGTGTCCCTTATGGATACTATCAATGGACTGTTATGCCCTTTGGATTATGCAATGCATCACAGATTTTCCAAAGATGGATTGACAACATTTTTTCTGACTTTAAAGATTTCTGTGTTGTTTACATTGATGATATTTTGGTATTCTCTAAAACAAAAAAAGACCACAATAAACATGTAAAAATAATATTTGATAAATTAATAGAAAATGAAATTATCCTTAGCCCAAAGAAAATGAAAATAGAAAAAACTTCTATTAATTTTTTAGGAATGTTTTAGACCAAACTAGAATAAAACTTCAAGAACATATTATTTCCAAGATCAGGAATTTTCCTGAAGATTTAAAAGATAAAAAACATCTTCAAAGTTTTCTTGGTTAACTTAATTATGGAAGAAACTTTATAAAAGATTTATCCAACAAAGAAAAACCTTTATTGGAAAAATTTAAAAAGAATAAACAATTCTTTTGGTGTGAAAAAGACTCAGCAATTATTAAACAAATAAAACATGATTTATTAAATATTCTTTCTGTTTACACTGGGAAGCGATTTTAAAAGCATTTGAAAATAATAAAGAAATAATATGTGGTTACAATTCTGGAAAATTTAAACCAAGTGAGATTAACTATATTACCTATGAAAAAGAGCTTATTGCCATAAAAAATGGCTTAAAAAGATTTCATATTTTTCTTGCTCTTGAAAAGTTTCTTATTAGAACCGATAATTACTCAGTAAAATATTTTTTTAAAAATAAAAAGGAGAAGAAAATC